CAGACTGCTGCTGCCCTTCCTTCCAACAGTGCCTTCAATAGGAACACCACGACAAGAGCAGAGGTTCTCAATCTACCCGTTATTATTTTAACTTCAGGCAACCGGATTTCCTCCTGTGTCTTTGATCTTTCTTAGCTTGTGAATAAAACCACCTGGGGATTTGTCAGGCCCCAGTTGAATTAAAACCTAATTATGTATGGGAGTATAAGAGCTTCCGTGCTGGTGGGAAGGGATAGCTAGGGAGGTGGCACCTGCCCTCCTTGGCTGTAGGTGAGTAGTAACACATCCACACTGGAGGAAGATTTGCTACCATGGAAACCTTCCTCCCTAGAGCTTCAGCTCTAAGACTCTGTCTCCCCAAGATGCTGTACGTCATCTGACTTCGTGCCCAGGCAAACCAGCTTCGGCACAGAGGACAGCAGCCACGTTTCTCTCTTCTCCCTCAGGCTTTGGGACTGGGCAATGTTATCAGGGATGTAGTTTGCCAACAAGCCGAGAAGCACTGTTTAACCGGACACAAGGACTGGAGGGGCGGACTGGGAAAGGTAGCTATCGAGGTGTTTTGCAAAGCATCCACAGTTGTCTTTTTTTTTTTAACTTATCTATTTATATCACCTCTCTAGAATATGGAAATTAGTTTTATTGTACTTAACCATATGTTCATATGGATTGGCTGAGGTGTACAGTTCTATTTTTTAGTCAGTTTTATGTTCTTTCAACTTCTTTTTTCTTTAAGAAAGATCTCAAAAGCTTGACTGCTTTGTTCTTGCCTTGTTCCATGTACAAAATGTATTTATTAGTATAATTTTTTGGCACCTCTAAGCCAAGGTTATTTCAATCATCTGTGCTGCAGAGAGTGATGGCAGCTACAACCTTCACAAAGCATCAAAATCTGACACAGTTCTGGTGGCTTTCTGGTGGACCGTCCAGCTGAAAGGAGTCCAAATTTCTACCATCAATAAAAATCAGTCCTTTGGCAGACTTCTGACATTTTATATTTGTAATTGAATTTAGCAATATTTAACATTATCTATATTTAAAGTTAATGATGCTAACTAATATTCAGGAACTATATGTGCAAATTATTAGAAGAGAAGCTCGTTACATAAAGAAAAAAAAACCCACTTTTCTCTTCCAACCACTTCCACTTCAATCCTTCATAAAATGGTTAAGATTACATAAAGAAAAAAAAAAAACCCACTTTTCTCTTCCAACCACTTCCACTTCAATCCTTCATAAAATGGTTAAGCTAAAACCTGATTTGCTAAACTACATTTATGCACAAAGAACAGAGATAAACTTAACCCAATGAAAGTTTGAATGAAACAACCGGGAACTTTCTGTCCCCACCACTAATGATTGCTAATTACTCTGTGTACATAGCACACCATGACTCCATCAAGCATGTCACAATGCCTCTGGCATGACAATTAATTATTATGAACTGTGACACTACAGATAAGAGGTTTTGGATAATTAGAATGGAGATGAAGGCAGACTTTTGCCTCCCCAGTGAGCACAGGAGGAACAAAGAAGCCTCATCCTTCAGTTTGTTTCACTACATATTTTAAGTCTGAACAAGTTTTCGATGGTACAAAATTTTATTTATGGAACAAAAATAACTAGTTGTCAAAATTTCATTAAATCTTTACCTGATTTTTATAAGCGAAATACAGATCCATGAAAGTGGGTAGCCGATGTGATATGGTGGGAAGTGTTGACATGGACTTTGGAATTGGACAGAGCTGGGATCAAACTTCGAGTTCATTCCACATCTCTGAGCCTCAATTTTCTCATCTCTGAAACAGGGTGTAATAAATACCATCGATCTGATAAGGTTGTTGTGATGATTAAAATAGATAGCCTATATAAAGTACCTGGCACATGAATGTTAAGTTAACCTCCTTAAAATACAGGCTTAGTGAAATGCATCACCATCAGCAGAAATTATCCTCCCCAATTTCAAGACATCCTGATGTTGAGGCTGTTTTAGACTCTACTGCAGCAAGCAAAACAGAAGGAAACTGCAGAGGAAAAGATATTGGTTCCTGCCCAACCAGAGTCAAAACTGAAACTTCTCTGAAGTCAGCCAGCTATAACTCTTTCCCACCTATGCATGGGGTGCTTTGCAGTTTTTCTCACATGTATACTAATGCAATATATTGCACCCCTGTTAGCCCTGGTTACACATTTATGCTAGAAACAAGACTACATTAAACATGAGGTGGCCTTCTCTGAAGTCAGCCAGCTATAACTCTTTCCCACCTATGCATGGGGTGCTTAGCAGTTTTTCTCACATGTATACTAATGCAATATATTGCAACCCTGTTAGCCCTGGTTACACATTTATGCTAGAAACAAGACTACATTAAACATGAGGTGGCCTGGGCTCTGGTAAGCATTGCTTTCAATTTTCTGCCTTTTTATTTGCCTCACTCTTAGTTTTATAAGAACACCATTGCATGAACAGCAGCACCAAAACTGTGAGTAGAGGGAAATCCAGGGAAGCCAGATACGTGATGAATAGAAAGAAGAGCAGTAGTTCATGAATTTTTCCATATTCCCCGCACTTTTTAATTTGGTTTAAGCCAAATGAATCAGAGCCATCAAAGAGATCACTTGTGAATCCCTAGAGAGAATAAGTTTTCTGTCTCGTTAAAGAGAGGGGGAAGTTTGGGGAGGGTTATCCCCAAGTGTGAAACTAATGCAGAAAATGGGGAACAACCAACTGGATAAGGACTAGTGTCATATTTTTAAAAAACAAATAAGAAACAAAAACAAAACACCAAAAGCTTGATTTCCTCAGTTTGTTCTCTTCAAGTCAACTTGTGGGGGCTGGAGGGAGACAGATCTGTGAGACTGGAAGAGAGAGATGGTGAGGCCACTGCCCCACACATGACTGGGGTCTGATGACTGCAAGGACAGCTTCCAATGGCTCAATGCAAACTGCACCTGGCACAGCAGAGAACTGTAGACATGGCAGGAGCCTACAGATGGGTGATGTTTCACAGAAAGCAAACTGAAACAGCGAGGTTGAGGGACTTTCCCAGAGCCAAACAGCTAGTGGGCCGTGGAGCTGGGATTGGAAAATAAAACTTGCCTCATGCCGAAGCCCTCTTACTCTAAAACCCCCTCTCTTCACTCCACAAACTTCTCTTGATGAGGGTTTTTGGGTCTTGAAGGGCAATCTAAAATTTGATGCTAAATCAAGTGTGAATACAAGGTAAGCATTTTGCAAATATCTAACCTTTTAATTAAAATCTTCAAATAGACATTCTCAGTCACAAGGCAGAGTTTGCAAAAACCTTCATGTCTTTTGGCTTTTTCACACACATTCTCCACGGATTAGTGAAAGGAAAAACCTAATTTTTCTTGCAGGCTTATCTTTATCTTAACTACTTTCTACCAATATGTCTGGAAAATCTTAACTGGAAAATTATTATATAAATAAACTAAAAGGTCTATTTTCGAAAAGTTAGAAACCACAAAAGCAGCCACAAGAGTATAATTCTCTTACACGAAGACAGAAAGAATTCTTTTCCCCACATAAATTTAGGTTTTCTAATGAAACTACCCAAAAGAGCATCTCTTTTACATTTTCTGTCTCTAGTTCATTTTATTTGTTCAGAGGATCTAAAGTCTTGCCTTAAGTATTTGTACTCAAAGGCCTGTTAAAATGTTAAGTCGGTTTATATTTTACTTTGCCCAATTCCGGTTGGTCTTTCTACAAAAGTTCAAAAGGCAATGTTGTCCCAAATATGGAGTTACGTAAATGATTACAAATTTAAATGAATTGATTTGGATACAGTGAGACTTTGAAAATGTCTCTTGAGTCAGACTTATCTTGTACTGTATAAGCAAAATAGACAAGAACCTGATTGCGTTGGGTTGTAAATGATGGTTGAGACCAGTGGTTGACACACACCAGGAGACCAGCGTGGCCAGTGTGTTCCCAGCAGAGCTTTGAAGATGACCCTCCCACAAGCCAGTTCTGTCTGGTTCAGTCACCCCAATGTAGTGAGAGCCCTAATCTATATCTCAGTGCATCCATCTATAGCATAAGGATGTTATCTTTTTTTTTTTTTTTCCCTTTTTGTCTTTTTTTTGTGTGTCCGGCAACGGATCGCAACCCTCAGTGTCACGCCTGTACCGGACCAGGGACCGGCAACGGGATCGCAACCCTCGGTGCTGCACCCGCACCTCGCTCAGCCAGTGAGCGGGAACCGGTCTGTATGTGGGATCCGAACCCTCGGCGGGAGCGCCGCCGCGCTTCCCAAGCGGCGCACTGTAGCAGTGCGCCACCAGGCCGGCCCAGGATGTTATCTCTTGCTTCTTTCTACTCTACATGGATGACCCAGTAAGATTACCTGCCAGAACAAGTTTGGTACAAGAACTGTGTTCTGGAAATCAAAGGTGTGGTTTCCTTATGCTTCCTAAATCACTGAGTTTGAGCCCGTTCTCCTATAACAGACAGGATTCAAAGACTGTTGGATGGAAGTAGAAATCTTCTGGGGAGGATTTTTAATTCCTCCCCCCAAATGTCTCTGTTTTATTGTTCTTTTAAGAGTAAGAATTCCCATGTTTGCATTCTGGGTTTTTTTTTTGGGGGGGGGGTTGTTTGTTTGTTTGTTTTTTAGTTTTCTCTTCTGGCATTTATTTCTCTGTTAAGTGAGGTCACTTATGTTTTTTCTAAAGGAAGGGAAGTGATAGATTTTCTTTTGGAGATAAGTGAGAAGAGTTAGTATCACAGTAAGGACTTTATAATAAAGACTATCTAATTCAACTTCTACCAAATTCTCCAAAATTCTCCTCAGGTGTTCATGGCAGGTGGACTTCTTTCCTTTGCTTTAATACACTGAGAGGCAAAGAACTCTATTGTGCTAGGCAATCTGTTTCACTTTGAATAACACAGTTACAGATAGACATGCTCTGCCTTCTGGAAATTCCATCTTTTGGTCTTCATTCTCTCCCCTGAAACAACATAAAATAAATATAAATAATAATAAATAATAATTATTAAGTGCCTACCATGCACCAGGTGCTTATGTCACCTCTATTCTCAAGAACAAGCCTGAATAGTCAGTATCATTCCCTTTTGAAGGATGTGGAAACAGAGCCTGAGACGAGCTTAAGCACCTTGCACAAGGTCGCAGGATTTAGGAGGAGAGAAGCTGTCTGACCCTGCACAACATTTCCTCACCTGGAACTGCTTCTCCTCCCACACGGCAGCCCTTCAGCTCTTTGAAGGTGGCACCTAAGCTCCTTTGAGACTTTGCTTCTTCAGGAGGGATCTTACCAGATTCCCTAGTTCCTCACATGACGTGAATCCCTTTACTCTGGTCCCTCTCCTCTGGAGAATCTCAGGTTGCCCAATGTCCTTAAAAACAAGTGGAACAGAACTCAACATTCCAAAGTTCTTTCACTATAACTATTTTGCTTCTGTAGTTGGCGATACTAATCAGTCCAGGTGGAAGAAAATGTATAGAAACAACAGAATCAGGGAAAACAGAAGGCACACTAACAAAAAACAATTCCAGCACACAATATTTAAAAAGCACTTGTCATGAAGAGAATAAAAAACTGTTGGGAGGTGTATTGAAGGCCCAAGACCCAGATCTTTTATTTGATTTTTCTTGGTAGAATAGACAATGGTACCGTAAGCTGACACCATCCCTCATACAGAGGCACACGCTCCTCAAACACTCTTCCTGGAAAAAGCTCATCCCTTGTATTCCATGGCTATTCAGAAGGTGTTTCCACATAATTTCATTTCTGTTTTTGATTACTTTGTATGCCTTTTTTTCATATATATGTGAAAATATATATATTTATAAAGAATTTAAAGCAGATCATGTATGAAAATAGCATTTTCTTTCCTAAAATGAATCTAGCATTACAAAATTCTACTGAGAGGTTTATATAATCAATTAAAAAGAAAGGAACAACTTGATAATTCAACCATTATTTCATGAATGCAAGAATGGTTTGATAGTAAGACATTCATTAATATAATTAACCACATTAAAGAGAAAAACCGTATGATCATATCTATAAATGCTAAAAAGGCATTTGATCAAATTCAACATCTATTCATAATTTTTAAGGTCAATGAAATAACAACAGAAGACTATTTTCTTAACATAATGAAATGTATATATATATGATAATATACAAGTATATGAACATATACATAGAGAGAAAGAGAATCACCAAAGTATACATTATGCTTAATGGTGAAACACTTAAAGCAATCCCTTAAAAATTAGGAAGGCAAAGATGTCCATCATCACCACTATTTAACATTATTCTAGAGGAAATAATGTTATTTTTTACAGGTTTTATCATTTTTTTTACCTCGAAAACCTAAGAAAATCTACAGAACATTATTATAAGAAATAAGAGAAGTCAGTAAGGCTTGGGTATAAAATCACTAACATTAAAATAATAACAATCTGTTAGCATTATAATGGAAGAGCAGGCCTTATTTATAGTAGCAGCAACAACAAAGATAAAATGCATAGGGAATAAGCCTAATAATAAACGTGCAAAATTTATGTGAACAAGTTACTGAGTAACCCTAAAGAAGGCATAAACAATGGAAAAGCATACCATGTTCTTGAATAGAGAGCTCCCATTCCCCAAAGTTCATATAGAAAAATAAATAAGAATAGCTAATAAAGTTCTGCCAAGACAAAACAAGGAAGGACTAACTCTGTTGAATATTAAAATATATTATAATGCTGCAATAATTAAAATAGTATTGTGATGGCATATGAACAGATAGATTAATGGAACAGAAGTCCCAAAGTAAAATATGTATGTATATGTTTATACACACTCATATGTATACATACACATATATATGAGAACTTAGTGTACAATAAATGGTGGCATTTCAAATTAACAGAGAAAAGCTGGATTTTTCAATAATATTGGGATCATCTAAAATACTCTTGCATCCCTCCACATGACTTACACAAAATGCACTCTAGAAGTATCAAGGAGTTAAATATTTGATCAAAGATGGATCATACAAAATAAAACCATAAGAGTTCTACAAGAAAACATGGAATAATGTTTATAAAACATCAGATTTTCTTAGTGATACAAAACCCATTAGAGATTGACAAGTTCACATAAAAACTGCAAGTCTCTGCATGGCAAAAACATCAATAAACTCAAAAAGTAGTAACTGGTACAATAAAATATTTTATATTTGCAATGCATCTCACAGACAAAAAGTTCCTATAAATCAATAAGAAAAAGACAGGGAAAAGATGAGCATTCTAATAGAAAAAAATGGGTAAAGGATTTGAACTGTTTATAGAAAAGAAAATACAAAAGGCTTCTAAATCACAGAAACAGGCTCAACCTTTAATAAAAAATGAGAAATGTAAATTAAAACAATGAGTTACCTTTATTTATTTTTTACTTATTGGTAGACAAAACCAAAAATTTTCTAGCTCATTGTTGCCAGGGACATGGGGAAACAGACACTGTCATTGTGGCTGGTAAGATTGTAAACTGGTTCAACCTCTGCAAAGGGCAAGATTTTGAAAAATTCCAAAAGCACATACTCTTAAGAACAAGATGATTTCTATGAATTTATCCAATGGATATACTTGAACTTGTGCAAAATTAATGTATATAAGAGGATATTCACTGCACCATTGTTTGTGATAGCAATGGATTAGAAACTTGAAATGCCTAACGTTAGGGGACTGGTTAAATAAACACAGAATGTTCATATAATGAAATTTTAAAGCAAATGTTAAAGAAAGACACAGAGATCTAGATAGATATAGATATGGAACTTTCTCCAAAATATATGGTTAAGTGAAAAAAGCAAACAAGGAGCAGAACAATATGTATCTTATGCTACCATTTAAAAAATAATAATACATAGGTATGTGTATAGAGTATCTGTGGATGAAGACAAAGGAAACTTGTAACATTTGCAGTATGTAGAGAGATTATCTGGCAGGTTGGGAAGTAATGGTGGAAAGAGACTGCAGAACTTTTTCTGCTTTTTGAATTGTATGCCTTATGCATGTATTATATAACCAAAAAAAATTAAGTAATTTTTAAAAAAACAATAATAAAGTCAATTCACAAGGGCATTGAGAAATAGAATAGGTTTTCTTATTTTTCACTTTATTGGAACTAGTTTTAGAAAATTGCCAATCTGGCACTTCCATAAAAAGAGTTAACAGGTTCAAACAAATCAATGTCCATTTAGCTTCTTCTCATTTGAGCTTGTCAGATTTTATATGTGCAAATTCCCTGGGAACAGAAAAAAGTATTTGCTTTGACTTGCAATCTGAAATGGGTTGTTCCTTTTCAAAAGTTGATTTCATCTGACGTTGTTAAACACTTGAAATGCTGTTAGGTCATCTGTAGCCTAATTAACACTAATTGATCTCTTGAATAGCAGGATTATTAATGCAGTTTAATTACTCATTAGAACATCTTAGCTGTCCAACACCGGGGGTTTGAGGTTTGGGGTCTGAGATGGAAGGTGGGTATCCGGTGGAATCAGATGCACCTCTGTTGAATTAAATGCCTGTTATCACTGCCCGCCCTGACTTTTGGCTCATCTCTCAGAATCTGGCTTTTGAAAGCTTTGGTTGGGGAAAAGAAAAATGCAAGCCACACACAGATTAATCCTGTGGGAAAACAGAGGGTCACAATGTAATTTGGTTGCTATCGTGAAGAATGTAATTGGTTTGATAACAAAAACAAACAAACAAAAAAAACCGTTTCTCAGTGAAAAGCCTATGGGAGTATGTGGTTTCTCTCCTCCCCAAATCTAAGGTGTAACATTCTGCTGCCGTTTCAGCCTCAGTTCTACCTCTTGGAGCAAAAACAAGTAGACCTCAGACCTTCTTCCACTCCCACCTTGTTTGCTCCCCAAAATTTTTTTCTTTTTATTGTGTTACTTTAGATAAAAGTTTAGATCTTTACAAAATATGTTTGAAAATTCTTTCCAAATCTCAATTTGTCCCTGAATAATAAAGCAAGCCTTCTCTCGCTGTTCTAACTTCCATGTTGATGCTTATTTGTTTATAGTAAAAGCTGGAGGAATGCGAATTTCCAAAAAACAAGAAATTGGTGTTTTGGAGAGACATACCAAAAAAACAGGATTCGAGAAAACAAGGTAGAGACTGCTCAATTGCTTCTCTTTTATCGCCTCGAAGAGTTTTGAGGACTCTGCTTCCAGAAGTAATTTTAGGACAAGCCAAGGTTCCCTATGGGTTTGGAGACAGCCAGGCAGGGTGGGGTGAGGCTAGGGGTCTCCATCAGTGGTGATTTAGTGGGGGAACCAGGGAGGGGGAGGTGGCCACCTCTGCAGGGCTCTCTCTGAGCCCCCTTCACGACCCCCACCCATCCTCCTCCTCCTCTCAGCAGCCAACCCAGCCACCTCGTTCTTAAAAGTCACGGTGCTGAATGCATTCACACCTGCCACCTGTCCCCTCATCCTATTTTCAGATCAGCCTTTAAAATATTGTCCCTAGGCTGGGCCTGTTTTCATAATATGCTTTCTGCTGCAGATCTCCTCAATTAAAAATAAATGCCTTTTTTGTTTGGTTGTTTTAAATTCATCACTCAATTATTTATAAACTAATGGCCTCTATATTGGGCATAGCCGGAAGGCGTGTAGGTGCAGAGGTTGGTTTCCCCTGCTCCTTCCTCCATAACCTTGACAGCCTGCGCTATTCCCAGAACCAAGCAGGGAGCTGTGGGCTGGATCGGATGATGGGCCAACCACTCTGAGCCCTGGTTAAGGAAAACGAGTGCATTTCAAAAAGAAAGAAACGTGCAGAACTGGTTCCTCCAGGTAGTGTGATGAAGGGCGCTTCAGAGACTATTAATTTTAAGATGGTTTCCATAGATCAGTTGATGAGTGATTCAGTAGGAGCCCATTAGAGGATGCTCAAGGTACCCCCGTAAGTGACTAAGGGACCTCTTTGGCTCTTTCATATCTTTTTTGTGTGTGTGGCTGGCGGACACAGGGATCAAACCTGGGCCTTGGTGTTTAAAATTATTTTTAAATCACTTTTAAACTTTTCCTTCCAATTTCCGGGAAGGAATTTTTTGAGGAATTTTCCACCCTCCACTTAAGAATGAAATATTTATTTGCTCCATTAGCAACAAGTCATTTGTTTCTTCTGATATCAGAAAATACCCATCACATAATGAAAGCAAATCTGTAAGTCCTCAAGAGTGGGGTTCACAAATTATTCAACTTCTGACCCAGCATCTGGAACAGTTCCTGGAATAGTGAATGCACTCTGTAAAAAGATATCAGACTGCTGTTGAATTGCAAACTGGTTAATTTCAAGAGCCTATTCTGTTTCTAAAGCCTGACTCAAACATAAGCCCTGATTATTGTGACACTCCTGAACTTGTCTGGACCAGGGGCTCAGGGACTAAAGAACCTCGGGTTGGAAATGACTTCTAGTCCGCAGCCAATGGACAGGTCATTCATTTCTCTGCACCTCACGAAAATGAGGACTTACTATTAATTCTAATATCAGCTGAACAATGCTAGCAGAAGAGTTGGCTAGAGAGTAATAAAGTGGTGATTGGAACATCCTTTAAAAACTAAATTGTTTTCTAATAGTCATTAAAAGATGGGAATTGGACTACTACAGAACTTGAACAGCAAGAGATAGCTCTTTCTCTTGCCCTAATTACCAGAGACAGAGCGGGTTATACAAGGCATGAAGCTCACAGAATTTGGGGGCCATTATAAAGAAAAATAACCAAAAATTACAAATGTGACATAGGGAGGGCTCCTCCCAGGGCCTTGGAAGGAACCAGTGCAGTGAGACCCTGAGGCTTAGCTTCGTTAGCTCCACGTGAATCCCCCTCTGCTGTTTCTATTTCCTCCGTGGGTGTGTGCACGGGATAAGAGTGCCTTGTTTTCATAGATAAACACCTCTCCTCACATCTTCTTGGAAAATAGCTTTTAAAAAATATAAAATAGAAAATAAATTTCTAGGCAGCAATCTATGGCCATTTCCTAATAACTTCTACTAACCAACACAATCCATCCAGGAAAAGAAATAATATGCCAAGCACAGGTTTCCGTCAATACATGGTACTATAGACTTGGCCTTGATTCAAACTCTCCTACAAAATAACTTGGCCCGAGAGAAAGAAGCCAGACACAAAAGAGTACATGCTGTAAATGGTTCATTTTATGAAGTACAAAAACAGTCCAAACTAATCTATGAAGCTATAAATCAGGGTTGTGGTTATCCTCAGGGAAGTTGGTTTGATTCGTATTTTTGTTTTGTAAATATTAGCCACGCTATACACTTATATGTGTGTTTTTCTGTATGTATATTACGCTTTCATGAAAAGTTAAAAAACAATAATAATAATAACTGGGCGTACAAAGCTTACTCTAGCACATGGGTACACAGAGGCAGGATTTTGTCTTCGAGATGTTGCCAAGCAGAATGAAAGTTTAAAGACAAGGAGACGCCCTTTCTATAAAAGATTTAGCCTCTTTAGTGCTAAGGAAAATTTTTAAGTCCTATTTGAAGTTTCTTTTCATCTTCACAGTGCCATTGCAAATGTTGCCAAAATACAGACGCTGGATGCCCTGACCGACACCCTGGAGAAGGTGAGCGGGGCGGGGGGCGGGGCGGGCCTGAGTCACACACTGCTCCAAGTCAGTATTTACCCGAGGCATCAGCCTGCAGGGGTGAATGAGCAGATGACCACGGAGGTTTTTCCAGCCCAGAGGTTTGATGTCCTTGTGAAAGAATGAGCTTTCGGGCAGAGGAACACAAAAGTGCTTTGGGTGAGAAAAGGTGTTTCTCTCAAATTCCTAAAGTGTCCATTTAATAAATCATTTCGAAAATAAGATAGGAAATAAAGTGAGAATCACGATGCTGAATTTGCAGAACTGTATTTTGCCATCCCAAATATTTCTCAGAAACATTGGCATGTTTTTATAAAAGGCAGCCTGTGTACTGGGACTTCAGCAGTTTTTTCCCTTCCCCCTTGCCTCAGCATTCCTGTAAAGAAATATTTGATTTGAGGCAAGGTGGGTGGTGGAGGGTTGCATGATTTAGGGCTGGGAGAAGGCTGGGCACCAGCTGCGTTATCCACTAAGTCTGTTTATAAAGCAGTTGACCATTGCCATTTTTACTTCTGTAGCCTGAGTTTTTCTAAGTAGCTCAAGAAACTGGTACTCCTTATTCTACTTTTGGAAGGCAGAGACATTATATTCAAGGTAATAAAGAACCACTCTTTGTGCTACTTCCACCTTTTTTGAAGCGACAGGACTGGGCACCCTCTGCAGACTTGCTGTTACTGCCAAAATCAGGGGCCTGAGGACCATCACCTCAGCCTTGGGAAAAAAATAGAACAGAAACCATGCAGCTGTCCTCTGGGACCCTATCGGCACTGGCTCCACCTCTTACTATCTGCATGGCCCTGAGCAAGTTATTTATCCTGAGCCTCAGTTTCCTCATTTGTAAAATGGAGATAGGGAAGAGTACATAGCTTATAGTATTGCTGTGTAGAGTAAATGGGTTCATAGACACAAAGCTCTTAGAAGAGTGCTCGTCAGAGTGACCTCTTTGCGCTCCATTAAGGGTAGTAGCCCTGGTTTTATGGCAGTGAAATGAAAAGGCGTGTCTAAAGTCCATGATGTTACCAGGTAGATTGTACAAGGCTAGATCTTGATGATGAGCCATAGCTACACAGCCTTCCAATGCGGGAGGCTTGGTTCTCCCACTCAAGTAGATTTGGGGTGAGGTCGCAAGTGACTTTTGCCTTCCTGGCTTCAGAAGCTGGGCTGATGGATGATACCCTGCCAGGCTGCCTGCCCCTGCATCTCACCCACTCTTGCTCCTGCCCACTACACACCTCTTCCTCAGGGCAAGAGGATGCCCACAGTTGAAAGTAGAGCTGGATAGAATAGACATGTACCCCTAGGACATGTTAACTCAAAATAATGTTTAAAAGGAGTGGCCAATAAAAGTTGATCATGCTGTATATTAGATATGATGCCAGAGTCTGTACTGTGTTTTTACAAACACAGGTGCATATAGACACAGAGGGTTCTTTCCCTTTCTGTTAAAAATATCACTTCTTTCTTTCAAAGATAAATTATTTGGGGGAGACTGATCTCTCCCGTAAATAACAATAATAAAAATAATAATAATAAATCATATTTGGAAAATGTAAGAGAACATTGAGATGATATGCTGTTACAAATATTTTTAAGAGTAACTATACCTATTTAAAAAAAAAAAAAGCTTTTAGGGCCGACCCCATGGCGCACTCGGGAGAGTGTGGCACTGGGAGCGCAGCAATGCTCCCACTGCGATAGGAATGGCCGGTGCACTCACTGGCTGAGAGCGGTGCAGGTGACACCACACCAAGGGCTGTGATCCCCTTACCGGTCACAAAAAAGACAAAAAAAAAAAAAAACTTTTAACACTCAGTTCAATGTTTACTGCAGTGGCATATTTACTATAAGGACTAATTTTTACTGTTTGGCTAAGACTGCACAGATTACTGGTTAGGAAAGCAGGTTAAGAAAGCCACAGACTGCCTGGTTCCTGTGCCGGCTCTGTCACTCACTGTGTGTCCTTGGGCAGCTTCCTTCCTTTTTCTGTGCATCTCTTTCCTCATCTGTAAATGGGAACATGATTAATAGTATCTGCTCCCCAGAGATATTGTGAGAATGAAATGAAGTTCTGTAATACATGCAAAGTCCTTGGTGCATTTAGCCCTCAGTCAGTGTGAGCTTCTGTTCCCAGGCATGCATCCTTTTGTCACATGGAATCCCAGGCAAAGGATAAGGAGCCAGCAACAAAAACATGTTCAAAGATTACCATCAGTGACTATCTCAAACATAGATGGTGATGGGATCCATGTGTTTCCCTACAGCTAAGAACAATCTCCCCTGAATTCATAATTCAACATGAAGCATAGTAGGATTTCATAATAAAGGTCAACCTCAGGTTGAAATCTGCTGACCACTAGATCTGCTGAGATCGGTGGCTGTCGGGGGCTGGGGGTAGAAGGAGGGGTCGGCCACAAAGTGACAGGAGGGAATTTTGAGGGCAGGGTGATGGAACAGTTATATATCTTGGTTGTGGTGGTGGTCACAGACTGTATGCACTTATCAAAACTCAAAGCAGTACATTAAAAAGGATTAATTTTACTGTAGGTAAATTATACATTGATTTTTAAAAATAAAAATGTGCTTCACAAACTATACGGGCTAACACAAAAATAAATTTTAAAAAACATATAAAAGATATAGAGATATAGACATAAATATCTTTTGATACGTTTTCCCTGCATTACAGTGATTCCCCTCACATTATCTATTGTCACAGAGACCTAACACTATATAACTGGTCAGAAGAAATACAGTAACAGAACTGAGGGTCATATCCCCTGAATTTATTAAGATTTATTCATGTCCTCAGCTACAATTATGTCTAGTGACAAGAAACCATGTTATTTCTCATACCTGTTTTAGGAACTTGAGGGTCCAAGACAACTTCTATCTATAAGACGTCATAACCATTTAATCATGGTGGGAAATTTACATCTGTATGCTCTTCTTCTTTGGATTCTCTAAAATCTCTAAAATTTGGGAGATTAAAAAAACAATCCCAAAAGGGTTGGAATTGTACAAATCTAAGTGGAAAGCAGCTTAAAATTTCCCCTCCCACTTTTTCCCCACCTCTCCCCTCCACACAGACCTCTTTCTCCCACCTCACTCCGTTTCTGCTTCCCTCCCTGCCTCTCCAGCCAGCCTTCCCCACCTCTTGAAGACTTACATAATAAGAGAATTCATGTTGCCCAGTGGCAGACCACTTGGCCTGGTATCCCTGCAGAAAAGGGGTTGTGTAAAACTGAAAGCTCTCTAGGCTAAAAATCTGGAAGACCTGGTCTCAGACCAAGTCCCACACACTACGTAGAGCTTATTTGACCCTTTAGATGTCGTGTAGGTCCTCTGAGATTTGTGGGTACTTATTTACTTTTTTTAAAGTTTTTTAAGGCAGGAAGTGATCGAAAATGATACTGCCAATATATTAATTCTCTGGACAGTCATGGGAGTTAAATTTGTCAATAATTGTGAAGTTTCTCAGAACATAGAAGTATCCAGTTAAAATATTAGTAATGGGGTTGGTTTATGGTGTGAAGGGAAGTGGAATGTTGACACCTTGTTAAAGCTGGGACCACTTTTTTCAAGTTGCCAGGCCCTGAGTCAGCACTGCCAAAATCAGTGAGATGTATCTGAAATGGGATCCTGGGGGAGAGAAAGCTATCAAAGGCATCTGCAAATTTAAAAAGTTTTCTCTTGATCTGTAGATTAACATCACCATAGGAGTATCCTTGAATTTCATTGATGAGAGCTGAATGTTTTGTTTTAAGCACTTTGCTTAACTGGGTGTGGAAAGTTAAGTGCCAGCGTTTGAGTTGGAACTTAACACCCTGGAAAGATGAATGGAAGGGCTGCCAGCCTGCTAATACTACCCAACTTCAGGCTCTAAAACAAAACCTGCCGCTGATTTTCTTACATCTAGAGTTTCTTTCACAGCTCCCATCATAAGGACCAAATTTCTTTTGCTTTTGTCTGAAGCTAAAAGTATAGGTTCTGAGGTCACAGCTATCCAAGATGAAGGTGAATTTTCAATGTAAGATTTTCTATTGATCTGTTTTTCAAGTTCAATATATTGCCCCTGTGATGGAGCCACAGCAAGGCAGAATCCTTAGATACATACTGGCCTTCAATTCTTTTTCTCATGGGGTTACCTTAGATTCTCTTACCCTAATGAATCAGACAAGAAACACCTTTCATTCTACAAACACTATCATTTTACAAAGACTAATGATGAAAATTGTGGAGCTTCCCTAAAGTTAAAATGTCAGATTAAAACAGCTGGTTGTAGGTTTCACTTTGGAAAGCTGCTTCTAATTATTTCTAGTTCTGACTGGAAAATAAGACCTTATCTCCATTGATATAAAATCTACAGCAAAGAATTAGTGCATTTAGGGGTTGACCATTTTATTTACAGTTTCATCAATTCTGATGGAAGACTCTATAGACTCTCCACCCACAACTCCAAGCCCTTCAGCATCCTGATTATCAGGGGTGGGGATGTGAGAAAGAGAACTTGACTCTCCTGTCATTATACTTCCAAAAGTCACTATAAAACACTGCCACTGGCCCCCAAACCCTGTATACTTGCAATTTAACAATTATGAGCAATTTCTCTAAAGCTGTTATATTTGCCAGAATTATTTCCACTTCCTTCTCGATCCTGTTGATTTTCTTTCTTTCCCCCCAAATTTCCCAGACCAGTTCACAGATGGCCAGCAGTTGTAAAGTGCTGACTCAGTCTCTCAATCATTCTAATCGGTGGCATTCCTCTCCCCAGAAGCAGTTGAGCAGCACTTTTAGAACCTCAGTTAAATGCCTTCATTAAAACATAACCCCCAACTCTTGAGCATTGCTGATGGCAATGTTAAATGGTGCAGCCACTCTGGTAAACATTGTGACAATTTGTCAGAAAATTATCCGTAGAATTATCGTATGATCCAGCAAATCCACTTCTGGGTATACCCCCAGAAGAATTGAAAGCAGAGACTTGAACAGATATTTGCACACCAGTATTCATAGCAGCATTATTCACAATAGCCAAAAGGTGGAAACAATCTCCCAAGTGTACATTGATGTATGAATGAATAAACAAAATGTGGTATATGCACACAATAGAACATAATTCAGCCTTAGAAAGAAAAGAAATTTGGCACATACTATCACATGAATGAACCTTAAAGACATTATGCTATATGACATAGGCCAGACACAAAAGGACAAATATAGCCCAAGTCCACTTAAATGAGGCACCTAGTATAGTCAGAGTCATAGACAGAGAGTAGAATGGTGGTTGCCAGGGGCTGGTGGGGAGGAGGGGATAAGGAGCTATTATTTAATGAGTACCGAGTTTCAGTTTGGGATAATGAAAACATTCTGGAGATGCATGATAGTGATGGTTGAATGATAACATGAATGTATGTAATACCACTGAATTGTACATGCACTTAAAAATGGTTAAAATGGTAAATTTTATGTTATGCATATTTTGCCACAGTTTGTAACAATGACCTCAAAAATGTAGCCCCTAAATTGTGGAGATCACCCCAGAGATGATCCAATAACAAATTAGTACTAAATTAAGCAGTAAGTGTGTTCTAACATGCTGTTCTCTTCTCCCCTTTTCTTTTCTGCCTCCACCTGTCATCTCTCTCACACCTCAAGAACAACAGTCGACATGTGACATGCGGCTTTCTTCCCTCCAGTCCCAGCTTGTCATCATCTCACCCCACCTCATCCTGGCTCATTGCCCAGATTTCTGTTATATCAGAATTATTTGTTTGTTTCCTTTCTCACCCCCTTTACCTTACATTTGACCTTAAGTGACTTGTCAAATTGTTCTTCTTATCTCTAATCTCTTGAATGTGATTTAAAGCTAACCTGAAATAATCCATCTGTTTTAGTTGAAGCTAAAGATACCCAGTCTGGAAGCAAACTACTGAAGTCAGTGACCTCTTAAATTTCCTTCTGGTTCTAATGTTAAAAGAAAAACAAAACCCTTACCAGACTGTAAAATGCATGTCATGTGGTCTGATGGCAATTGATTTGACAAAAAAAGTCACCAGCTCTTTTTTAGACTCTAAAGTAACATTTATGAGCAATACCTCAATTATGTTTTTTTTTTTTTTGTCTTTTGTCTTTTTCCGTGTCCGGCAACGGATCGCAACCCTCAGTGTTGCCCCCGCACCGGACCGGGGACCGGCAACGGGATCGCAACCCTCGGCGCTGCTCCCGCACCTCGCTCAGCCAGTGAGCGGGAACCGGTCTGTATGTGGGATCCGAACCCTCGGGCGGGAGCGTCGCCGCGCTTCCCAAGCGGCGCACTATCCAGTGCGCCACCGGGCTGGCCCACAATTATGTTTTTTTTTTTTTTCATTCTTCTAGAATGTCGGCAGAGACCATCCTTGGACTTTTATTATATAACTTGTACCTGCTAAATGTAAAAGAAAAAAATTAGAAAAATACTGATAAGGAAAGCAAAGAAAAAGCCTAGGAACTGACCATAATTCTATCCCCCAGAGATAGCCATTGTTAACACTCCAGTGTATATTCTTCCAGTGTGTTTAATTTTTTAAGACCAAGAAGAAAGAACTTTTTAGAGTCAAGTTTCATATGAAAGGGAATGCTACCTGCCCAGGGCTTGGGAGGAACATTTGAGAAGAGATATAAGGTACATATTGATTTCCCCAGCTTAGAAGAACCCGAACAAGTCATAAGCAATGTGGTGCTTACGGTCATGAACAGTTTATCTCCCCTTTTATCAAATCTGAGTGTCAAGGTAAGGACATCTAAGTTCAATAGTGATAAGTTAAATTCCTACTGAGCTGAGGCATCCCCTTCTTGCTGGCTAAGGGAGGTGTCCTTAGGTACCTTTTATACTGTTTTGATGAGCTTGAAAACAAAGAACTAGAATGAACCCAGAAGGTCACTGGATCCAAGTTCTCCTCTTAGGAAGTGTTCAGCAGCATTGGGCATCCTTGTATCTTTAAGCTGTCCTTCATGTAAATTCTATAAGGTCTCTTGGTTCCATATGAAATTCCTCTTATTGTCGGAAAATCTCAGTCTGTGTTAATTTAAATCTATTAAAGCCTTTTTTCCTCATAGATGTTTTCTGTGAAGATGACTAAAGAGAATTTCTGTTTCCTGAAGCTAGTGAGTCATTCCTCAGTCTTCTCTTCAGGCTACTTAGATTAAACAATGTGGAATGGCCAATATCATATGATTTTTGACCTACAAAAATAGCAATTGCACATGCTTCAACCTAAAGAATAATCCTAACTTTTCCTAACTTTTTTCAGAGGTTCTTTATGACTTTTAACAACTGGGGGGGGGGGGTTGCCCCCTTTAGGACCTTTTCCAATGTCCCCATAGCCTTCTTAGAATACAGGGATCCATGTATGCATACTAGTGCTGCAATAATGCTGATATTACAGAGGACCAATGCAGACATAATTAACTATTTTTACTTTTTAAAATGCCACTTCAAAATATATGTAAATATACAGATATTATATATTCTTTTATACACAACATATTTTATAATTTTAAAAATTAGAGACAAGTTAATAAGGGAAAACCCCAGGTTAGCACATACTTCCATGTGTCCAGAGCTGGAAATGGTATGCCAAAAAGATGTATTATCAAAGAAATAAATAAAATTGTGAAATTCCCCTGACCAACTGTATTGCTTTCTACTACTTTAATATTTCATGACCAAAAAGATCCAATATGCTTATTTTTTCTTCCTTTCTCACCTTTAGCTCAATCATAAATTTCCAGCAACAGTGAACATGGCACATCAAAAACCCACACCTGCTCTGGAGAAGGTCACTCCACCGAAAAGGATCTACATTATTCAGCAGCCTCGAAAATGTTAAGCCAGGACATAAAACACAGCCATCTGGCCAACTGCCTCGAACATCTGACAGCTTAGCAAAAAGGACCGAAACTTTCCATAGGCCCAGTGCACTTGCTTGGTAAATAAAACAGCTTTTGTATCTTCCCTTTTGACTTTAGATAATAAAGCATCCAAAATTGTAAATCCAATATGCTCCGGTGCCTCTTTTTGGTGCAAGTCAGGATCCCACTGATATTTACATATGCAATTCTGTAGAATTAAGTAAAGAATATAGAATACCTGACTACTCCACAGCTCCTCCCTAGATTAACTCAATCCTTAACTGTTCCACCCACATTCCATTCTCCTTGAGAGAAGAGTGCACAAGCTTTGCAAAGGTCAATATTCTATGCGAACATTAAGAGTGACTCTTCTCAATTTGTTCATCTTAGGATCTTCAAGTATTAACTTGAGATGAAATGTCTTTTCCAGTTTCCTAGATAAACACATAGTGGATTTTTTTTTTTTTTTTTTTAAGATTTGGTAAGGGAAAATGAAAAAGTCAAATTGATAATAAATATATTCTCGTGCCAATTAATCATGGATGGAATGTAGAATTATAGTGTCTGTGGATGATTTGCTCTAGGACTCCCAGAAAGTTAATGCGCTAGAACTGAGGGGATCATGATACTACAAGGCATTGTGGTTGGGCTGTAAAAGTTGATTTTCATTTAAGGTGGGGTGGGAGGGAAAGTGTTACTATGGCAACTAAACATGCTCTAGCTCTCTTATCCCCTCTACCACAAACACACACACACACACACACACACACACACACACACACTTCATATCCTCACATGTGAACTGCCAAGGGCATTGTTGGGAAAATAGAATAATTTAATCAGGACCTCTTGCCATAGGGATGGTTGGGAGTGGTGCGGCACATTCTTTGTAAGCAAATTGTGTGTGGGTGGGGTGGAGTTAGTGCACTTGAGCAGCACTGAGACTTGGCTGGTGTTGACTGCCTTGTGGGTCCACCGCCACCTGCAGCCATGACTCCAAGGACTGTTTTGGCCGGGTACATAGCTCATAGACCTGCATGGGAGGGGTCTGGTGACCCAGCCTGGTGTGTGAAGGGTTAGTGACCCAGTCTGGACAACAGGCTTCGGGGGTTTGTGAGCTCCAGACCCAGCCCTAGCTTGACAACTGGCCCAGTCAGCAGGATTATGGGCAGGTAAAAGAGCTCTACAGGCATCCTCCGGGCAATCACATTCTTCCTGCACAGAGGCTGGCTGTCACTCACTGTTCCACTGTTCTGCACCTCTAATTGATAATGCTATCTGACAATCAGCATTTGTCCTTACCTGAGGAAGGTGGACAGCACTTTAGAGGTTGACAACCCTTGAGTATGACCTGGTGTCAACACTGTCTCAGATTCCTGGAAATCCATAGGCACCTGGCTCAAGCCCATTGGTCATGAGGATGCATTCCATCTCCTCCTCGGCATATTTTGGCTCTTTTTCAGGGATAAGAGAATTGTTTGAGACAATTGATAGATTTTGGACATGACCAGTGCCACTGTGCACACAATAAGCACAAAATATCTGCTGGCCTTGTCTTCCACTCCAGCACTAAACCTCTCCCCACTTCCATTTATGAGAAGCCTCATGACTTAAACAGAAACCCTTTTGCTTCTGCAAGGGCACAATTCTCCACCCTGGTTGCACAGCTTCTACATTAGCATAATGACCTTCCTTGATGGTATCAGCCAGCCCTTGGCACCCTATATAAGCTCTACCACCCCCACACCTGGTTCTGCCCTCCATTTTGAGGGCAGCCCTGGGCTACCCGCCACTTTGGCCACAGCCTGGCAGATTCTTTTCCTTTAATAAAGCTTGTTTGGTACCTGGAGTCTCAGCTCACTTTCTTTCAACAATATCAAGCCTTCAGGCAATGCTAGCATGATCAATAAGACAGTTAGTCCTAACTACCCCACCTTTGCTTAGCTTCGTTCCCAGCCCTCTGGGACTATTGTCAGAAATATCCCAGAAGATAAGTGCTGCAAGGCAAATGCACAGAAGTTCAAGGTCAGCCATCATTTCCCTAGGGGCCAGTAGCACAATATAAGCCAGATGGTCCTTGTCATGGGCACAATAACACCTGACTCCCCAGTTGGAGCTTCCCAGTGTTGCATACTGCAAAGAAGACAAAATGACCACTGAGATTTGTAAAAGAGGAGTAGTAAGAGGAAGGTGGTACCCAGATGCCTATCCTTGGAGCTGCCAGAACTAGAGCAGTAGCGGAACTACAAGAGATGGTATAAACTGAGCCCAGAACAGGTAATTCAGAGGAAAGCCGAAGACTTGGGGCTGGGTGGAGGCAGGGAGGAAACCTGGGGAGGGTGATAAGAGAACTGAGAAACAAGGATGGTGGCACTGCTACATTTGCCTGTCCTCGGTGGTATGAGGATGAGCCACCAGAGGAAACAAGAAGAGATGAAGGGCACGATGTCCTCTGTCTAGAGACGAAGGACGCCTCGTGAGGGTGGAGAGGCTGCAGTGAGGACCCGAGCATTAACCTCAGTCCACAACTGCAGTCATTTAAACCCCCAAGTCACAGGAAGTAAGGAGTTTGGTGTGAGCTTCAGATCTGAAAGGAATTGGAATTATCTTGGAGAATGCATCAGAAGAAAAAGGACCAGGCCCAAAAGAGGATTTTGTGCTGATATGGCCACACGTGCAGAAAACCTAAGGGACTGTTCCAAAGAAGGGTGTGCTGTGCCCCACCCAGTTAGCAGCTCCCTGTGTGCCCCTGTGTGCCCCCACAGTGGGGAGAGGGGGGCCAATAGGCTGGGGATTCGCTGGCAGATACTTTTCATTTACTTCATTTCAGTCACAGACTCTAGGCTAGGCTTTGGGATGCAAAGATAAGTAAGATGCCACCCCTGCCCACCAGGCTGTCATAGACCAAAGGGAAATGGGCAGCCAACAAATCAGTAGGAAAAGAGAGTTTACACGTGCTGGGTGGGGGGTGGGGGACATGCTGTGATGAGGCTCAAGAAATCACCAGAGGGTCACGTACAGTCAGAAAACAAGGTGGTGGCTGCAGAGCTCCATAAGCCACATGCAGGTCTTTGATAGGCAGACTTTAGTTACACTCTGTATTATGAAATTTTCAAACATACGCAAAGGTTCAGTGAATATTATATTGAGTCCTCATGTACCCATCACAGAATTTCAACAGTGTGGCCAGTCTTGTTTCAGCTGTAGCATCCAGCCCCTACTTTCTTTTCCTCTTCCCTCTGTCCATCTGGATTATTTTAGAGCAAATCCCAAACATCGTATAACTTCATCTAGATATACTTCAGTATGTTGTCTCCTAGAGGTAAGCGCTCTCTCTCTCTCTCTCTCTCTCTGTAAACTGAATTTTCACAAAAATTGTGGAGCAAAAGGGAGTATTAATGTAAGTCATCTAAGAATCATTCACCATGAAGGGGAGACTGGCATTGTTATGCAAGTCACAAAAGCCAAAACAAACAAGTAAAACAAGCCACACAAAACTGAGTCGGACACAGAAAGGACTGCTGGGGAATCTGAAAGCCAGGGGAGGTGGAATTCTGGAGAATAGAATATGAGGATGGTCCTAGGTGGAAGGAGAGAACACGGTAAACATGAAGTTGCTGTGGGTAAACAGGAGGTACGGGAGGAAACACCAGGGAAAATTAGTTCTCACTGAGGAAAAGTATATAGAGAACACTTAGAAATAGCTATTATTGAGGCCGGTCAAGGAAAATGGGGCATGAGAGGGACAAAGGAGGATAAATTAATGACAGGAAAAACTAAAATCAATTTATTCAACAAATATTTCTCAGGCTCCTCCTGTGTGATAGGCTTTCTTTAGATGGAACCCAAGTCCAAGGAATATATAGCTGGCATTTGCCATATACTATGTTTTAAAATGAATGTCAGCTGGAGTCACCACGCCTTTCAGAATAGATAAGATTGGCTCAAACTCCCATCCTACCCCCAATGGATATTCAAAGCCCTCTCCAAGACGTCTGTGAATTCCCAGAGGGTTACATTGTCATGGTCGCCTCTGATTTCCGATAAATGTGTTCACTATTTGCTGTCTCTGTGTCCCTCCACCCTGATCTGGACTCAGCTCTGTTCCATAATTTCCCCAAAAGCCTACTCCAGTGAGTGGTAAGCTTTACCAAAGATTTGGTAGAGAGTGTCGGCATAGTAGCCAGACAACTTCCAGCAGAATATGAGCTGTCCCTGGTTGTACGTGTCTGTCCTCCTCCACCCACTCCCACCACCGCCCCCACCCCACTGAGGACTTGTCCACTGCTCATCACACCCCTGGCAGTCCCCTGCCTTGCTGGACGCTCTCCCCTCCCCCACTTTTCTCCTCTCCCCCGGTTCAGTTCCACATCAGCAATTCAGCTATTTCTCTAATTGTTTTGACTCCTAGAAAAACACTTCCTCAAGGAGTCATCTTACCTCCAGATAGTCTCCCCACCCCCAACAACTGTCATGATATCAACATTTTCATCCAAATATGGTAGAATGGATGAACAATTAACTAATTAACTTGAAAAAGCACAGTGACAGAGAACCTGAACCAAGAAAAAGGAGAAGCCAAAGGAAAAAGGAGAACTTTCAAAGAAAATGTTGAAGGCCTCAAAGAAAAAAGCACACACAAAATCGAGGCAAGCAGAGCTTCGACTAAAAATACATAACACAGATGGGATTTTAAATGTGGTTTTGCATATGTGAAATCTTCACAAGAATCCTGAAAAATGGTAGCTATTATTGTCCCATTTTACAGAAGAGAAAAATGAGCCTCTGAGAAGGTAAGAGAGTCCCCAATGTTTTATAGCCTATTAAGTAAAGGAATTTCTCTGAGAATCTCTTAATCCCAAATTTAAATCTGCCTCTGCTACCCCATAGGAACACAGGCTGGTGCTGAAGCTTAGAAGTCTCCAAACAGAGAGGATCTGGATATAATTTTGAATTAAGAAATAGAGCTGAATCTGAAGAGAGAAATCTGCATATGAGAGGACTGGTTTGGGACTACCAAATTCCTCAATGGGGCAAGTTCAGATTTTCAGATTTTTGCTGAAAAGATACAGTCATGTGGAAGCTTGAAAGATCATGGGAGAGAACTGGATTGGGAGAAAAGATCATATTTATAGGAATGAGTT